CTCTCTCTCTCTCTCTCCCCTCCCCCCACCCCCTCTCCTCCATCCATTGCCCTAAAACAGGACTTTCCTGTACAAAGTTGAAATTAGACAGACCACAGAAAATGTAGATTGAATTTGCTTCAAGCCACAAGGAAAAACAAAGTCCCTAGATAAAGGCTCATTTGTTTTTTCTGGTCCTGTGGTGCAGAGTCAGGTGGTACTTTACTCCTCGGAGCAAATTATTGAGAAAGTCAGACACACACACACACACACACACACACACACACACACACGACCTCCATCACCACTACCAACAAAAACAACAACAGCGACACTACAGAGATAGACAAGCCTGTAGCAAAGGAGAGATCAACGTTCTGCCTGCTCCAGACCAAGAAGATACCATCCTTCCTGGTGTTTATCGTTACCTTTGTCCCACTAAGGAGTAGAATGTAGCCATGTCATTCTCATCTTTAGCTTTCAGGAAAGGATCCCAAGTGATTGGACCTCAGTTCTCAGGACACTATCATATGTGCAGCTCTTGCCTCAGTCACTCAGAGGCTCAAAGTGCTTGATCTTGGTGCTTCAGTAATATTACTTATCCAGTGGACAGGGGCCATGTGCCTGAGCCTCCATGCCAAGCCACCAGAGTGGTGGCCCAGGTCAAAGAGAAGCTGTTGCCCTCTGAAACTTGGAAATCATCCTTTTTAGTGCTGTGTTTTAAGTGTGGTGTTCCTCCTACAAGAGACTTGAACTTGAACACCAACTTTGGGTAGATGTGAGCGTCAGGTTAGAGTTGAGAACACTGAATAAAGGGGCTAATCCACAGTGAGAGAACCAGCTGAGAGGGAAGCACTCTGCTAGAAAAAAAAATGACCTTTCTGATTTGTATGAAATCAGAAGAGGGGACATTTATGATACGTGTCGTATCACAGCTCAGTGGACTATCTGCACCAAGCCAGAAAACCCAGTACATTATGTTAACCATCCACAAAGACCAAGCATCTTTTCTCCATAGTCTAAACTGGTCCCAGAATACCAGCCCTAACATAGCCCTATTTCCTCTGATGACTCCAGGAAAATCCATTTGCTTATAATGAATCCAGTTTCCTAAAGATTTCACTATCGAGCAAAGTATTGCTCAAACACTTTGAGCAAATACAAAATATAAGAAAGATATTATGTTATTGTTGATATGTTTAACGCAAAAGGATGAGTTGTGCTCTTTTGGGTGTATTTAAGTATTAGTTTACATGTGATTGATTAACAATAGGGAAATGGGAAAAATTTAAAACTAATTATTGTAACTGGTATATTATAGATAAAAGAATTACCGGATTCTTAATCTCATTTACTAGTCAGCTTATGACACACGTTCTAGGGGATTTTTATAAAGGGAAAGAGCCATGTGTTGTAGTGGGAAGTGTTCATCTTAAGTTTTTGGTAGTCAGGGGCAGTTGTAAAAGACCACAAGGCTTGCATGGCTGACAGAAGAGCTCATGCTGCATTGATGGCAAAATGACTCAAGGTTGCAGGTGTCTGCAGCACAGTCTGTCTAACACAGGATCTGCCGGTCTTCTGTAACCTGGTAACAAAGGCGTGAGCTAAGGATAAGGAGTGACAGACTAACGCCTGGCCACAGAGCTCAAGAGCAGTTCAGTGAGATAGTACTTACTGGGATGGTGGCTGAGAGTTAATGTTAAAGACTTAAACGAAGGTGCTAACTCACTTGCAGTTTGCCAAAATGAAATCCACAGGTCTCGTCTTCAACACTGCTGATTTAAGAGATCTGAAGAAGATCCCAAGTCTGCTTCATTTAAAAAGAAGAAGAAGAAGAAGAAGAAGAAGAAGAAGAAGAAGAAGAAGAAGAAGAAGAAGAAGAAGAAGAAGGAGAAGAAGAAGAAGAAGAAGGAGAACAACAACAACAACACAGGTGATTCTGACAAAACTCTTTAGATAATACATATTTGAAGAACAAACTGCCAAGCACAGCTCTACCCACTATCAGGCAGTGATGTTCCTGAAACGGGTCCTTCACATTCCTGCAGGCACACAGGTCTTCCCAAAGTAAGTCCTGAGGATTGAAAAGTTAACTTGATTCAAAAATGTGGCTCTTCAGTAACACCGTATACCTCTTGCCAACCATCATGTCTCTATAAAGAAAAAAGGTTGAGCATGGACTTCTAAAGCCTTTTAAGTTCCTAACCTCTAAAACTCCACTGCCTACTAGTGGGAGAATGTTGTTTAGAGGCAGGATGCACACAGGTTTGTTTCTAATCACATCGTAAGAAGGCTCTCTGGTGACTAGCACAGAGGGTTTATACGAATGCATAATTCTCTTAGGTCTTAGAGAAATACCCATCTCTGTTCAGAACAGAAAAGTCATTTTCCTAGGAGTAAGGTAGCTCCCTTAGAATTTCAGAGAGTCTGGAGACCAACAGTAAACATAATTGCCATAGAGACAGAAGATACATGTTTTCCGAGCAGGAAGTATGTCCAGTTTGCAAGAGAAACTCAGATCTCTAAAATCATCCAAAAGGTATTTTGCCCCACACCCCTTTCATTGCAGTTTGTTGAGTATCCCCCAGACACTGCATAGAGGAATTTCAGCTAGCCGAATAAGGAGCCATAGGTATGTCCGTTCACGCTGCACATTTTAGACTTTCTCTTAGGTAGAGAGTTCTCCACACAGAGATGGTCTAGATAGCCCAATGGGAACACTAGGCTAGCTAATTGCTCTTGTGTTAACAGGGATTAAGATAGTAGGCAATAAACAAAAGAATTATTTGCTTTTAATTTTTTTCATTTCTCTTTACAGTACTTTCCAATTTTTGTTTTAATAAAATCCCAGTGTCCACATCTATAATTCTACAAGTAGCATAAATTGTTCTATGCTTTTTATTTTAGAGGGCTGGTGTGTACATAGTTAACAACAGCAACATCATCATCATCAACAACAACACACATACAGTGTTTATGGAACTGTTTATAAAGATGGCATGGGTGAAGCTGTCTAGAAACCCCAGTATAACAGAAAATGCCTGTGAATCCAGTCACTAACACCAGCTGAGTGACTTTGGTCATGAAGGAACCAAGGTCACAGTAGGAAACAGGTTTCTTGTGTGTGTTGCTTGCAGCAGGAGGTCCCTCTTCTGCTACCCCTTTCTTATTCACAAACAAATGAGAATCAGGGCCTCTGCTATAGCTGTGTTGGTAGCTGGGTCTAGACTAAGCCTCTAGAAATCGAGTGAAGACCCTGAAGGCAGTAACCAGACATAAGGCTATCACTGACCCTCTCGTCCCCGGACTTGGGCAGGTGATCTACATGAGCTTAATGAATTCTCTTAAGCAAATTAAGAAACCCACCATGGTGGTTCTTCTCCCTTTCTATCTGAGAAGAGATAGTATACAGCTTTTCCTGAAGTTACACAGCTAGGAAAATTTGCAGTTAGGACTCAAACCAGGTGTGTTTGATACCAAAGCCAAGTTTCTAATGGCAACACCCTGGATTCCTAGTGGTCTGTTACGAACATCAGCATTATCTGGCAGCTTGATGGGAATACATCAGTATAGGCTCTGTCTCAGACCTACTTTTCCAGAATCTGAATGTTAATACAACCATTGTAGTCATAGACAGGTACATAGATATTTGCCCTGCACATCATTCTAATCCCTGGGCCCAGGCACTAGTCTTGCTTTAGTGCTTATTCCTAGAACATAAGAAGGAGAAATCAAGCAAAATTCTAAAGCTTAGAAAAAAGATAAAACAAAACACAAAGGTTCTTGAAGAAGCCTGAATCCTAAAGCTGCTCACACTTCTACTTTGGTCCTTTAGTAAGTCAATGCCAATTGGTCATCAATCTGATTGGCTCTCTCCCAAGTGACCTCCTCCATCCCTGGTAGCTGGAATTCAGGTTGCCTAAGCTAAGAGTCTCTGAGAAAGACCAGAATCTTCTACATGAGAAAGGCAGGCTTCTAAACTTGTACTCCTGAAAGTAGGAGCCAGAGATGAGCCTGAGCACGATGGTAATTGGGCAGCAGTGGTTCTGCCCCACCCTCCCACATCCTAGCAGAAGGAGAAATACTAGTTCATAGATTCCTGATGGGGGCATCCACTTAACACAAGTACATAGACATTGATGATGTCTGTGCATTGTTAAGGCTATCATGCTAATCTTGGCACAGTACCATTTTTAAATTTAAAAGGCATTGCTAATTAGCAGTGTTAAAATTATGCGAAGGATTGATGCCTTGGAAATCACAATGTTTGTAAATGTGCTGTCTCTTGGATCCTCCAGATCTCTGTCAAACTCAATGTGTTTATTATATCATTCCCAGTTGAAGCTCGACCAACAAAAAGGAAGTCAGTTACAGTGAGTGTATTCCATCTCTTTCACCTCACATTTTTATAATCAAATGTAGAAGATGCCTACATTGAAGCAAAAAACTAAGCCTAGCTATGGAAAGCATTTGAGGGTATTGTGGTCTGGGTAGAGTCCAGAAGGCATTGTCTCTCCTTCTCTGGGTATGTCTTCTCATCTGAGAGCCTAGTGTATTCAGCTGATACTCTCTGACCATCCTTCTTATTTGGAGTTTGAGGGAGGTGGGGATGGCAACCATCAACACATCAGGGGATTGCGCATTTTAAGAGGAGTATCTGGAAAGAATCATGTTTAAACAGAGAAATGGTAGAATTCCCACTATTAAAACACTGTATATAAAATGTTCAGGGGAGACTTACACTTATCATCTTTGACGTTCCCATTTCAAAGTTGAGAATTTTGATGCCCTAAATATGACTCACCAACAACAAAACTGCAACTGGGAACCAGCTGTCCCTGAAATGGGTGAGTAGTCTTTGAATTCACTACACACTCTCCAGTTTTCGTGATTTAAATCTTGAAGTGGGGGCTGGCTCACCAATGGCCTCTGTTTACTCTGTTTGTATAGGACAAGACCACATTCTGCAGTGATGCTTCTGGTGAGGGGCTCCTTGTGGACACACAAGGATGCACAGATGCAAGTGTGCCCACGCCTGGGGGTTGGATGATTGCTGTTCATTGTAGCAGCTTTATGAAAACATTAAATGTCATTACTTATTTCTTCATGTCCAAAATGTATACTTCAACATTTTTCTTCTGTAGACAAGTGTCGCTTTTACTGCAATCTTCAGGCCAGATGTTCTTGGTATAAGTGGTAACAGCTGCCATGCTGGCAAGAGTGTGGCTGCAGCCAAGTCACTTACCAAAAGGGCCCCAGAGCTGTCTGTTCAAGAACACTGACATGGCAGAAGAAACCCATACCTGGCCCTCCCAGGCTTCTTGGGAAATCTTGTGAAGTCTGGTACAGGGGCTTTGGGGAGGGCATGCTGCCAAACCCAGGGCTGTGTTTGCTTCTTCCTTGGTGATGAGCTGGGGATGCAGGCCAGGGAGAGCCAACTCCTTCCCTTCAGGCTTCTTTCAAAGCATTTGTAGTGCCATCGCCCATTACCCACATCCTCGTTTGTCTGGAGACCAAGTCGCTGCCCTTGCATTCTGTCACACTCACCACAGCCTCCTATGATCTCAAGTTGACATTGTATTGTTTTTGAATTTTACTCGACTCACAGCCGCCTGGTAGCATTTATCTTCTCAGCTCCCTTGGGCCTTGAAGAATTCCTCAATAAGGTCCTATCTCAGTGTCAACATTTCCAGAAGAATACAAGTACATTTTGCTTCCATCTCCAGCTAAACCCAGAGACTTGATTCACCCAAAAAGTAATTTTTGCCTTTGCAACTTTTTTTTCTAAATGGCCCATTATCCAAAAATTGTCACCTTGTCAAGAAAGGTTGACTTTATAAGACACCAAAAGTCATGGAAGAGCAAACAAACACAAACACACCCTTTACATCACACAACAGAGCTGTGGGTGGTTGTAGCAAGATGCTTCATCCAAGAGATGGTGAGCTCTGGGGCTGGAGAGATGGCTTAGCAATTAAGAGCACTGACTGCTCTTCCAGAGGTCCTGAGTTCAATTCCCAGCAACCACATGGTGGCTCACAACCATCTGTAATGGGATCCAATGCCCTTCTGGTGTTTCTGAAGACAACTACAGTGTACTCACATATATATATATATATATATATA